GCAATCCACTCACCTCAGCCTCCCAAAGTGCGGGATTACAGGCTGAGCCACCGAGCCCGGCTTGTATTAGTATTTTTTACGGTGAAAGAACATAAGCTTAGGCTGGGTGCACTGGCTCACGCCTGTAATTCCTGCACTTTGGAAGTTGGAGACGAGAGGATTGCCTGAGCCCAGGGGTTCAAGACCAGCCTGGGCAATATGGCGAGACCTCTTCTCTATAATAAATCAAAAAATTAGCCGGGCGTGGTGGCACGCATCTGTGGTTCCAACACCTGGAAGGCTGAGGCGGAAGGATCGCCTGAGCCCAGTAGGTTGAGGCTGCAGTGGTCATGAGTGTGCCACTGCACTCCAGCCTGGGCAACAGTGAAACTCTGACTCAAAAAAAAAAAAAAAAAAAAACATAAGCTTTAAGTTAGCTCTAAGTTCAAATCCCATCTCTGCCATTTACACACAGGCAACACTTTAGGGATGTGACTTCTCCTTTCTGAGCCTTAGTTTTTTTGTTGTTGTTGTTTGTTTGTTTGTTTGTTTGAGTTGGAGTCTCACTCTGTCACCCAGACTGGAGTGCAGTGGCCACTCCCGGCCACCGCAGCCTCGACCTGCTGGGCTCCGGCGATCCTTCTGCCTCAGCCTTCCAAGTAGCTGGAACTACAGGCATGCACTACCACACCCAGCTAATTTTTTATTTTATTGTAGAGATGAGGTCTCGCCAAGTTGCCCAGGCGGGTCTCGAACCCGCGGGCTCAGGCAGTCCACTCACCTCAGCCTCCCAAAGTGCTGGGATTACAGGCTGAGCCACCGAGCCCCACTAGTTTTATTTTCTAAGAACCAGGGAGAAGGGTATCTGTTCAATAAGGTTGTTTTAGGGATTAAATGACAGCATTTCACCCAGGAACTAGCAAATCATTTGAAGAGACCCAGTTCAACCTCATGTTTAATTCAAGCCCCACTCCATCTGAGATAGAAAACAGCATAGTTATTCTGAATCCCCTAGTTCTTTTAGATTGCAACAAACTCATCAATTGACAATGAAACCTGTCGCCACCCCCCTCCTCAAGATGGCATCTAAGTTGCAGGAGACCCACACAGGATCCTACTGCTTTAGGAGGCTGTTCATCCTTGCTCAGTGGCTATCCTCTCTGCTATTCATTATTAATGATGTTTTTATTTATTTTTTATTTATTTTATTTTATTTTTTGAGTTGGAGTCCCACTCTGTTGCCCAGACTGGAGTGCTGTGGCACACTCCCGGCCACCGCAGCCTCAACCTGCTAGGCTCCGGCTGTCCTTCTGCCTCAGCCTTCCAAGTAGCTGGAACTACAAGCGCGTGCTACCATTCCCGGCTAATTTTTTACTTATTGTAGAGATGAGGTCTCGCCAAGTTGCCCGGGCGTCTCTGACCTGCGGGCTCAGGCAATTCACTTGCCTTGGCCTCCCAAAGTACTAGGATTACAGGCTGAGCCACCGAACCCAGCCTAATGATGTTTTTTAAATCCCATCACGCTCTTGGCCTGTGTCACCACTGCACACTAGCATCCACTGGATTGTTTTCAGATCTCTGGATATACTGTCTGCATCTGCTGCTGGTGTCCTCTCATCTGGGCTAGGGCCCCTGCTCTTCCACTTCCACATCCTTCCAGAATTATGGAGGTTTGGCTACTTTCTTGTGAGAGCACAGAGGCCACACTGGGCCTTCTCTGCCTCTACTCTTCACACAGCCACCTCTATTATTCTCACACCTTAATAGTTCTGAGACTGAGCTGAGAAGGGCATGCAGGGCCTCTCTCAGATTCCCAGACTTCCCAGAGTTCTGTGGTTCTGCATACATCCTCCTCTACCCCCTCACAGCTAACCTGGGGCTTGGAGAAGGCTAAGGGCTCATTTTCAGCTCATTTCTCTCTCTTCCACTCCTCCCCCAGCTCCAAGGATCTCTGCCTAGCCCAGGCAGATCATGTATTCTCAGCAAATGTCTTTGTCCTACCTACATCTGCACTGTTTTTCATACTGAAATCCAAAATTTTGGTGCTATTCTCTGACTTTTCCATGAAAATTCCTCACCTTGGGGCAATGGGAATTTCACATCAGGATGGCAGACAGGATGTGATGGTTTCTTTTAGAACACCTCTTTTTAAGAATAAGGAAAAGGCCGGGCTCGGTGGCTCAGCCTGTAATCCCGCGCTTTTGGGAGGCTGAGGTGAGTGGATTGCCTGAGCCCACGGGTTCGAAACCCGCCTGGGCAACTTGGCGAGACCTCATCTCTACAATAAATCAAAAATGAGCTGGGTGTGGTAGCGCATGCCTGTAGTTCCAGCTACTTGGAAGGCTGAGGCAGAAGGATCGCCGGAGCCCAGCAGGTCGAGGCTGCGGTGGCCGGGAGCAGCCACTGCACTCCAGTCTGGGCGACAGAGTGAGACTCCAACTCAAAAAAAAAAAAAAAGAATAAGGAAAAGGCCAGGCACACTGACTCACATCTGTAATCCCATCACTTTGGGAGGCGGAGGCAGGAGAATCACTTGAGCCCAGGAGTGCAAGACAAACTGGACAATACAGCAAGACCTTGTCTCTACATGAAATTAAAAAAAAAAAAAAATTAGCTGGGATTATAGGCTGTCTCATGCCTATAATCACAGTACTTTGGGAGGCTGAAATGAGAGGATTACCTGAGCCCATGGGTTCGAGACCAATCTGGGCAACCTGGTGAGACCTCATCTCTACAATAAACTAAAAAAAAAAAATTATCCAGGCATGGTAGCATGTGCCTATAGTTCCAGCTACTTGGAAGGCTGAGACAGAAGGATCACCTGAGTCCAGCAGGTCGAGGCTGCAGTGGCCTTGAGGGTGCCACTGCACTCCAGCCCGGGCAACAGAGTGAGAGACTCCAACTCAAAAAAAAAAAAAAAGTAGCTGGGCATGGTGGCACACACCTGTAGTCTCAATTATTTGGGAAGCTGAGGCTGAAGAATCACCTGAGCCCAGGACATCGAGGCTGGGGTGAGAGGTGATCACGCAACTGTACTCCAGCCTGGATGACAGAATGAAACACACACACAAGGGAAGACTTTCCCTGAAGTTCCCTGACAGAACCTCACCCCCCTTACAGCTCATTAGCTTTCAGCCATTATAGCAAACTACTTCCTTGGCTTGGGTAACAGGGCCACTGATGGGTCCAAAACACTTTGAACTCCAGGGAGGAGAACACCAAAGAAACAGTGACTTCAATCTATAGAACATTCATTTCCTTAACAAAAGGTTTTGAAGGAAGTAATCTCTGAGTTAGTTTGGTGGCTCCCTGGCTTATTCGTCTGCCTGTGGCCTTATAATTAGATGGCTGCATCAGTCCCCAACCTCACGTTCTCATTCAAAGTAGGACAAAGTGGGACGGAGGGACCAACAATGCTCCTCTCATGCCTTTTTTTCATCAGAAGGAAAAGCTTTTCCAGAAGCCCCTCACCCCATCCGTAGCAGACTTCTCTTACATCTCACTAGCCAGAACTGGATCACATAACACCCCCAGTTATAAGGGAGGATAGGATGGCATCTGACCTTCTGACCTTATTTAGCCTCTAGAATGGGAAGCAAACACAGGAGGAGTGAGAGGGCTGCTGGGTCAACTAGCCAGCCAAGCTTTCTGAATCTACCATGATTTCCATCTTGATTTCCCCCCCAGGACTGTGTGCTCAGACATAGAGAGTAGATTGCTCCCCACAGAGAGTGGATTGCTCCCCACCCTCCACAAAAGCAAAAGAAGGAATAAGCAATAAATAGCAATCGGCACTCCCTGACTCCTCTCCACCAGGAATGCCTGCTGCCAGGTTGAGTGCCTTGAGCAGCGCCTGGGACATCCTAGGCGCTCGATAAACTGAAGCTATTCTTGGTTCCCTTCCCTCTACCTTTCTCCTCCCTGCAGCTGCCTACAGAGCATCTATAGATTGAGTTCTCAAGTTACAACAGAATAATGCTGGGGTAACAAGACACTCAGACACTCTGAAGGTCCAGGTCGCCTTCCTATGGAGAACCTCCAGAGCTGGCTCAGGTTACTGCAGAAGGAGGCAGGAGTGGCTGAGTAACCAGGTTCCCTGCCGAGTGGCCCAGGATTTGACCTGTAAATCCCTACCAGGTGGACAGATGTTGACACAGCACTCCCAGCCTGTCCTTCCTCTGCCCTTCACCTGGCAGCCTAGGCCTGCTGAGACTGAGGGAGGGCAGCTGATGGAGGACTTGGAGCCAGCTGGAGAGAGGGTGGGGCTGGCCTTGGTATCCCTTGGGGCACCAGGAGGAGGGGTTTGGGGAAAGGGAACTTGACTGCCTCCATGTGCCCAAATGCATTTCCCCAGTGATCATCTCATCTCAAAACTGTGTAACTTGCTAGGCTTTTAGTTCCTGGAAACTAAACTAGAATTGGGGCCATTTTATTCTCAGGTTCCATTTAATAGCTGCTGTGGGCTGCCCCATTGTTTTCCTAGCTAACTGTCCTCACCCTTAAAGACTCAATACTACCGTCTCAGAAAGCCTCTCATCTGTGCTGTCATGGTGCCCAGGCCCTTGGCCTCATGGGAGCCAACTACACAAGCTGTTATCATCTGCTTCCATGTCTGTTTCCACCTCTAATCTATGAGCTCCTTGTGACCAGGGATGAAGCTAGTTCCCTTTGTATTCCCATTCTCCTCCAGGGCTGCATCTGGCTCAGAGGAGATATAAACACAGGATTTGAAATTGCACACACTTGGGTTTGAGTCGACTTACCATGTGACCTTGGCCAAGTTTCTTAGCCTTTCTACTCAGTTTCCTCTGTAAAACTGGCAATGATACTATAAATAGAACAGCCAGACATGGTATTCCTCCTGATGGCACAGTGATGTATATAGTGCCACCTTGAAGTCTTGCCAAAAAATCAGGCAAGAGTCTGGATCCTGTATCTACCCACCAGTTTACAAGAAGTAATGAGGATGGAGGAACATGGTGAACATCATCACAAGGAACAAGAGCATAATCAGCCAAATACGAATGCACCAATCCTGTATGACAAATGACCTAGTTTCCTCCACAGAATAAGGACCTAAAGAGCATCAGGATGGGAATGCAGGGAGGTGGGTATAAATTACTGTTCAACTAAAAGAAATGAGACTTCAACCAGAAGCAAGGGGGTGGACCTTATATGGATCCTCATTCAAACAAATTACATGTAAAGAGATATCTGTGAGACAACCAAAATGAAAAAAAGGAGCTGGGTATGCTGACACACCTATAATCCCAACACTTTGAGAGGTGGAGACGAGAGGATTGCCTGAACTGAGGGGTTCGAGACCAGCCTGAGCAACATAGTGAGACCTTGTCTGGACAATAAATAAATTTTTTTTTTAATTAGCTGGGCATGGTGGCCCATGCCTGTGATTCCACCTACCTGGAAGACTGAGACAGAAGGATAGCCTAAGCCCAGCAGATCAAGGCTCCAGCCTGGGTCTGGGTGACATAGTAAGACTCCTACTAAAAAAAAAACACAAACTGCAATATGAGATGATACTAAAGAATTATTGTGACTGGGTGTGGTGGCTCACGCTTGTATTCCTAACACTCTGGGAGGTGGAGGTGAGACCAGTCTGGGCAACTTGGTAAGACTTCATCTCTACAGTAAATCAAAAAATTAACTGGGCATGGTGGTGTGGGCCTGTAGTTCCAACTACTTGGAAGACTGAGGTAGAAGAATAGCCTGAGCCCAGCAGGTTGAAGTTGTGGCCATGAGTGTGCCACTGCACTCCAACCAGAGCATCAGAGTGGGACTCCGACTCAAAAAAAAAAAATTTGTTAATTTTGTTAAGGATGATAATGGTATTGTGGTTTTGCTAAAGGAAATAAGTTCTCAAGCAGGAAATAAAATTCTGGAGTAGCCATAGGTGAAATAATATAGTGCCTGGGATTTACTTTAAAATAATCCAGTTAAACAAAAATCTGGAAGAGAGAGAAAAAAACAAAACTAGAAAAATGAAGCTAATTATTGAAGCTGGGAGACAGATAATATGGATAATGAGGCTTCATTATTTTGTCCTTTTTACTTTTGTGTATGTTAAAAATTCAAGATATAAAATTTTAAAAGTATATACATATATATGTTGCATATAAAATATATATAAGCACATATGTATTATACACCAGGAGTGCCAAAAATGTATACACATGCTAGCATCACCATGTGACAGGGATGACAGTCAAAGAAAATGGCGGGCTGGGCGTGGTGGCTCACGCCTGTAACCCCAGCACTTTGGGAGGCCAAGGTGAGAGGATTGCCTGAGCCCAGGGGTTTGAGACCAGCCTGGGTAACGTGGCAAGAACTTGTCTCTACAATAACTCAAAAAATTAGCCGGGCATGGTGGCACATGCTTGTGTTTCCAGCTACTTGGAAGCTGAGGCGGAAGGATCGCCTTAGCCCAACAGGTGGAGGCTGCAGTGGCCCTGAGCATGCCACTGCACTCCAGTCTGGATGACAGTGAGACTCCAATCCAAAAAAAAGAAAAGAAAATGGCAGAAGCACAGTTGTCATTTGAGGAGCACAAGACCATTTTGAAGTGGTATTTGAAATTCGAGAACATTGAGGAAGTACAACGACAAGGCCTGAGTATGCCACCTAACAATTGCACACATTCGTGATAAGTTTGAGATGCATGGTACTGTGTGTGATGTGCACAAGGGAAGATCCTGGAGACCTCGCACAGCACCAAGTCCTGCAGTGCAGTTCACTGTAATCAGAAGTGTTTCGACACTGATGGTAACCACTTTGAGCACCTCTTGTATTGCAGAAGTCAAATGTGACTTGTATTCCTCTTTTGTTATAGTATATATTGGACATTTCAATTTTATAGTTTTTCCTTTCTTAAAATGTGTATACCTTTTTTGGACATCTTCCGTATATACATATATATTTAACATTTATCAAACATTTGGTTTATCCCAGGCATTGCTATAACTGTTCTAGATGTGCTCATTAATACTCATTAACACATTTGCATTAATTAACACCTTTGAGATCTGGGCAGTTTGTTTAACCACTTGGTCCTGAGCTTCCTTTATCTTTTAAATGGTGAATAAGAAATAAGTTAACACATGCACAGTGCTTATAAGTGTTAGCAATGACTATTAGCTAATGTAATCCTCACAACCACCTCATAAAATAGTTTATCTTCATTTTTATAGATAGGGGAGGCATGCACAGATAAATAAAAGCTGAGGTCCCACTAAAAGACATAGTGCTTAGCATGAGGCCTAGTGCACATCAAGCTTTCAGCCAATGTCTGCTGTTAGTTTTTTTGTTTGTGTGTATGTTTTGAGTCAGAGTCTCACTCTGTGTCCTAGACTGGAGTGCAATGCCATGATCATGGCTACCACAACCTCCACCTGCTGATTCAGGCGATCCTTCCACCTCAGCCTTTCAAGTAGCTGGGACTATAAGCACGCACCACCATGCCCGGCTAATTTTTTTAATTTATTATAGGGACAAGGTCTCGCCATGTTACCCACACTGGTCTCGAACTCCTGGGCTCAGGCAAATCTCTCACCTTGGCCTTCCAAAGTGCTGAGTTTACAGGCATGAATCACTGCACCCATCTGGCTATTAGTTTTAACATCACCATTTCCTGAAGTGAATGTGACCAACCATTTCTTCTAGAATGGGAAGCTGCTGGCTGAACGGGATGGAGTGAAGAGGAGGAGTGAGGAGCTGGCTATGGAGAAGGACTCTTTGAAGGTGCTGTCCCTCTCTAGTGCCTGAAGACTTCCCATCACCCCCGGGGCCATTTTTCCCATTTCCAGTTTCAGCCACCATAGCCTAGTGATAGCAGGAGTCTTGGATTAAACTGTCAGGCTCCCAAGGCCACCCAGACTGCTCAGCTGAAATCCCTGGAGTCCAGGGACCTCCTGGAAGGTTGAAGAGAGAGTGTGGGGAGAGTAGGGTGGGCCAGAGGGAGGGTAGAACCAAGGGGAGTCCTGTGAAACTGGACGGATGGACAGCTCCTTCCTTGGCAGCGACAGCTCCGTGAGTGTGAACACCTCATTTGCCAACGCGACACCATCCTCTCTGAGGTGAGGGGCCTGGGAAGGGAAGCAGATTTGCCTTCCACTTGCACTGTCCACCTCCTGCCCCCGGCCTGGAAAAGGAAGTCCTGCCTGGGTCTGATCCCTGGATAAGCAGTCCAAAAAGGTCAGAGGGTTTCCCCAGGTTACAATTGTGACCCCTTGGGAATGAAAGCCATTCTTCCCAGTGCTCTCCCTCAAGCCTTTAGCTCTTCCCTCAAGCCCATCCTGTCCCTCAAGCCCAGCCAGTCCCCCTCGACCCCCCAGACCCCAGGGTGGGGGCTGGGCCCAGTTTCAGTCAGTTTTGGGCTTTCCCAGCGCACACGCCATGCAGAAAACCTGACCAAGACCTTGGAGGAGTACAGAGTGACAACCCAGGTAACTCAGCTGCCCGCACCACCCACAGGCTCTCTGCCTGGCCTGGCCCTCGCCGCTTGTCTTTTACCATCTCCAGGACTTGCTGCCTCTTCTCCCTGCGCCTCTTTCTCTCTCTGTCAGTCACCACATCTTGCTTCTTCCATTCCTGCTGCATGACTGTCTCCCTCTCTGCTTCTGACTCTGCCTTTTCACTTTTTCTCTTCCTTCCCCTCTCTTACTTTGTGTATTTCTGTCTTCCATTCACTTCCTTCTCTGTGGGGGTCTTCTCACTGCATCTCCCCTCCTTATATTTTTGTGTTTCTGCCAAGTTCATTGGGGTTCTTGTCTCTGCCTCTGGGTCTAGTCTGTCTCCCTGGGCGACTCTTCTCTGTTTGGCTCTGGTCTTTTATGTTTCTCTTGCATCCTGTGTTTCTCTTGCCTCTCTGTAAATTTGTTTCTCATTTTTCCATGTGTCTCTGCCTCTGTCTTCCTTCTCTCAATTTTCCTGGCTGTGGCTTACCTTCTGGGTTCCTGTTGCTTTCTGTCTTTTTGGCTTCCTAAGTTTCTGTCACTGCTTTTCTTCCCCTTGTCCCTTGGCAAAATGTGTCTGGGAAGCCCAAAGAAGTTGGGGAGGTGAGAAAAACCCTGGAAGAAGAGCCCAGCAGTGGTAGAGGTGGGGAAACATGGAGAGCTAGTATGCCTCCCAGTTTCCTTTGTAGGAACTGAGGCTGGAAATCTCACACCTGGAGGAGCAGCTGAGTCAGACCCATGTGGGGCCAGACGAGTAAGTGGAACATCAGGCATGGGAGAAGGCAGGAGGGGGTAGCCAAGGGTAGAGTTGTCTTGGCCTCCAGTCCCAAGATGGGCAGGGCAGGGCAAGAAACCCAGGCATGGAGGCAGCCTTCCCTCCTCCTCTGTGACCAGGCTACCTGAAAGGGCCCAGGCAAGAAGAGTGGGCTGGACCAAGCTGCTGCCCCAATCCCTGGGCTTGGAGATCGAGGCTATTCAGCAGGTAGGCCTAGCTCCCTTGGATGTGCTGGAGACTACCAAGGTAGAAATTCCAAATGTCTACCCTCTCTGATCCTCATACGAGCCCAGCACATGGCCCCAGAGCTCTGGGCAGTTTACCCACTTGGGGAGCCCCTAACTTACATTGTTGCCAAAGAAAGCTCCATCCCAACCTCAGCTCTTCTCTCTCTCCCTCAAATCCCAGCCCCAAACCCATTGCCAGCCCCAGGCCCAACTATGACCCAGCCCTAACTCATCCCTATCCCATCTTCCCCCATGACCATCTCAGGCCTTAATTTCATCTCTGACCTAATCCTTGGCCTTGGCACCAAACCCTCCCCTGTTCCTGCTCCTACAACTCCTCCCAAATCCCAGCCCCATACCAGGACTTTGTCACCTCCCATCCTATTCCCATCCACACTAAGCTCATCTCCATCTCTGACCTCATCCTCTGCCTTAATCTGGCCCACTCTGGAGAAATAACTTCTCTCCCAGATACAAGAAGTGGCAGCTGCTGATCTCTCCAGCCCTCTCTGTGGGGTGTGGCAGTGGGAGGAGGTCATCAATGAGACCAGTGAGGAAACTGGGTTTCCACCCGAAGCCCCAGATGGGGGACAGGTGAGCACAGGAGAATCTCTGACGTCCAGGAGCTGGAAAGCGGCTCAGAACTCCATGTGCCACTCTGGCCAGCCCATTCACTCACACTTTTGCTTATTTCCCATTTAATGAACAAATGTTGATTGAGGGTTACTGCATGCTGGACACCAAACCACAAGTCAAACAGGACACCCCTGCCCTAGGGACTGACCTGCCAGTGTGGTCAACAACAGTGGACAAAGAAAACACACAAATTGCATTGTTGCACTGTTTTTGTTTTTTAGATAACACTGTCAGGAATCACCTTATATAACATTGTACTACTATAAGAAGGTAATAAGTTGTACATCCTAACACCATAAGAATACATTAGGCCTTTGTGTTTTGAATATGAGACACCTTTAAGAAAAGCCTAGTGGTCGGGTTCGGTGGCTCAGCCTGTAATCCCAGCACTTTGGGATACCAAGACAGGTGGATTGCCTGAGCCTATGGGTTTGAGACCCGCCTGGGCAGCGAGACCTCATCTCTACAGTAAATAAAAAAATCAGCCGGGCGT